GTGGTTGGCTTACAGTCATTACAACCGGGGTAAGGATCAAGATTGGAAGGAGAAAGCAGATAAAGGATAACCAGGTACACATTGATCTCCCTTCTGTCGCGCATGTTTGGAGCTAAACAACATGGGCTTCACGTTTGTTAGGATGTAGAGAGATACAGTCCTATGGGTGTGTCCGAAAATGAGGTATATCCCCCAGTTGTGGCCATTTTCATGGGGAAATTGATGATCAACCAGTGGAGTTTAGGGCACCTAATTTTCAGACAAAGCTATAGAGGAGACAGTGGTAACCCACTGGTACAATCCATCTATCCATCAGACCCGGATGAATGGACATCACTAATCTATTTTATCTATTTTTCTTGGACAATCCAATGTCTATCTGAATTTTTGCAAGAACAGTTGTGCCTCGATGTGAGATCCATGGAATCCATGGGTCAGGGGATTTCCCCAGTCCGATGGTTGCAGCGATCCAGATTTGAACGTTCCATGGATCTCACAGAGAAAGGAATTTGATCAACGATTTCTGGCAGCGATTCTCTGTGCAAAGCAATGGCAGTGACAGGCGCCCAGTTCATTGAAATCGTTCAACAACTTCACTGATGTCCAGTGAGTTTTCCGCTGAAATATTTGGGGCAATGGGAGGCTGCGTGCCAATGAAGTATAGCCTATATAGCTTTGGAGGGAGACACTAATGGAATCTTGGGGACTTGGGGATGGCTTTCGACTCTCGGTCCTTCAGCAGATTCAAACTGCAAAATATATTGGTTTGAAACAGATACCAGCCTCATGCGCATATGATGTCATTGCATGTCATTGCAACCTGTCTTCAAACTGGGGAGCCCTGAAATGCATCAATTTTGTGCAAAAACAACTGGCAGAAAGGGATATCCCGTGGTATCCCCAATTCTGAGATGTCTTGAAAGTCTGAGGGCAACACTGGGTTTTCCATCGTGCGCTGCACTCACGTTATCTTTGCACACCGGTATGCACCAGGATTCCCTGCCCTGACGCTAAGAATGACGGCAGTGGGGTTGTGGCAATCTGCTGGCGCTGGTTCTTCATAAACTTCCCAGCAGGCCATCATGAAACATTTGATGAAAGGACGGCAAGATCACTGGCGAAGACGTGGGTCGTGAAAAACCATGAAGAACCATAGAATAAAGGAGTAGAATGACCATAGCTGCTAGATGCTGCTAGCATAGGTTGTACGCTTGAGCCCACATGGTATCCTGACACCATGACACCACGATTGGTAATTGGATGACTGACTGCCAGATGGTGATTTTTGGAAGTGAGGACTCGACGGCCCCCCCAAAAAAACAATGCCATCGATGATTTCCCATACATACTCATACACAGTAGCATAGACTTATATATATATATATTATTATATTATATATATATATATTATTATTATATATATATATTATTATTATATATATATATGATATAATTAACATACTGCTAATGACACTTTTTTTTCCTGCACGTCTGTCTGAGTGTAACATACCCACAATAGTATTATAGTTATATAATGTTATATATGCTTATATATTGTATATTATTCTTATATAAATACAAAGTAGATAGAGTTGTTGCACAAGTACACGGCCATTGTTCTATCCCGCGATTGCGGGCAACTGACAGTGCTGGTGGCAACATGAAGCGCCTATTTTCAGCTCTAGACAGGTCTGGCGTGATGCGCAAGGCTTTCTGCCCCCAGCTGACGCCAAAAATATGCTGTTTTCCGCAGGTGGAAAGGAAATACCCTGGGCCAATCTGGGCCAACACCTTCAGAATGCGATTTTCACCTTCTGAAAGCTTTGATCAATACCGATTTCTGAGAGAATCTGAATGACTTTCCGCCCTTCACCCGCCGCATTTAGATGATCCCAAGGAGTGCAGCAGAAGTTTACTGTCGTGTTTCCACGGACAACACGACTTTGTGTTTCCAGGAACTGAGATGCTTCCTCCATGGTCACCGGAAATCGCGGCACAGAGTTTTTTTCGACAGCGCAGCTTGAGATCAATGTGCCGTTTTTTTTGGATTGGATGAGTCATTCATGTCATGACACTGTTACAAAACCCTCTCAATGCTGGGTCAAAGACCCCATTCGTCGTTCCTTTTCGAAGCCGTAGATCAAATTTCTAGCCAATCTTCACCTAAAGCCTCCTTGGAATTAGAATCACACTTGAGAATTGAGAGATACCTTGCAAGAACGCACCGAGTGATAATCATTGGTCTTGTGTACATCTCGAGCTTGGCTTCCCTTTCACCCCATAGGCTTGCAAAGGTGACTTAAGTGAGTTGTTTCATGTTGTTTCATCCCCCAAGCGGAAGCACCAACATGCAACGGGCAGTGTTCCGATCTTGAGCTGACATTGATAAGTCCAGCGCCAGCAAATGATGGCGTACGTACATTCAACAAAGTCAGGATTTTGCAAGAAACAAAGTCCGATGGTGTCCGATGGTGTCCGATGTAGGTGGAGGATTCACATGGATTCACATGGATTCACTGTAATCTCTATATTGTGCAACAAAAACACTGTGACAGTGCACTGATAGATGGATCATGGCACCGAGGATGAATCCGCAGGATTTCCTTTTTCCATTGTCAAGTGTTTTTGAATTGGCTAAGCATGGTTTATGACATGAACAGGGTTCAATGATGTTCAATGTGGCTGAGCATTTTCCTTGGTACATCTTGGTACACTTGCAGATCTTGCAGCTGCTTTGCTTAAAAGCTGAATGACGATGGACGGGAATCGAATGCAATTTAAGCATATTTAAGCCAACACCTTGGAGACTGTGACCTCAAGTAGTGATAGCATATTTAACCTGAATGTTGTGATTTTAGCATCAGGTTTGCTTTCAACTGCCCAGTGGATCCCAGTGTTCCACTTTCTTGAGCTTTCTTGCGTCATCCAGTGCCCAGACTACCAATCTTGATGAAGCCACAGTGCAACACAATAGCAGGCTGACCCTTCAATGACTCTTCCATGATCAGCAAGATTTCCGATCTCCCTACATCATCACAGATCGATCATTTCCGAATGTGGATCCCATGCGAGGCAACATCTCAGGAAGCATAGGAAGCTCTCGCTTCGGTGGGAATGGAAAGGATGGCTTGACAACTAGATACGATTACGCTGTAGTCTCCTGGCTCCCTGGATGCACAATTTTGCGCGGCCATGGATACACGCCTTTCGTCCCTTGGCGATGACAAGTTCGATGCAAACTTTACACATGAATAGCAATTGAGGGTACAGGTTATAGGAGTCCAGACAACACTGCACAACTACAATTTACATATCTCTATATGCAGAAATATATATATATATATGCTATCTATTTATAAGTACACATACGTTATAATATAATATAATATAATATAATATAATATAATATATAATATAATATAATATAATATATAATATAATATAATATAATATATAATTATATATACGTACACATACATATACTCATGTACATGTTGAATATATAGACATACATCATGATATGATCATATATTGATTGAATATATAAAAATCATTTATCTATATCATAATATACACACATACACTACTACATTGAATTCCACGCGCCGATGCCTGACGCAATTCTGAGGACCCTTCGAGATGCAAGCGGCGTGGTGGACGTTTGGGTCGCCCAGCCGTTCGGGAGAGATCTACACAACGCCAAAGCTGGTTCAATGGGATTTTAATTGGATGTCAATGGGCTTCCAATGGGATTTTAATGGATCTAATGGGATCCGGATATATCTACAATATCTACGTAGTATAGACTCTCTGAACTTCCTTTTCTTTGTGCAGGATTTTTTTTGGGTTCTATAGATGATTTCATGGAATTTCACCAGCAAGAATGGGGATGTAAAGCCAACTTCATGAGGATATGATGTCCCACCTGCAAAATGATATTTGGTCCCCCATAAGACGGCACTTTTTCGATGGACATCATGATGATTCACCGTGAGATTTGGGGTACTTCTTTTGAGACAACACAAACATCTGATTTACTGTAAAAGTGGTGGATGATGTTTGGGTCCCCACAAATTTCATCAAATTTCAAGACCATTTTCCAGAACTCTCTGGAACATGAGATAAAACCGATGCTTTCAAGGACCTCTTCGATAACTTGGTTCAGATCGTCAACTGCATTTGGTGGTTGAAATAGTTTGCAGATTTGTCCCCTAATTTCGGAGTCAAATAGGTTTAAAAAAAACCGAACAGTGTCGTAAATGGGCCAAAGATATTGGAGGCTCCAAAAACTGCCAGGACGCCCATGGCAATGAGATGAGTGAAACCAGTGATTTCGTCCTGGCCATTGAGCAAGAAGTATCGGAATCAGCAGCAAAAATGGTGATTTGAAGTAAGATGTTTTGCTCAGAATGAATGGGATAAATGGGACGCAACTAGACTGGTGGTTTCAAATTACATTGGATGATGGTCCTAATTGACATTTGTATTTTTGGGACAGATGCCTCAAACAGCAGCCACTCCTGTTCATTTGGAGAATCGCAGAAAATGGTAGCGCCCAATAGGATGCAAAGCATTTGAAATGCTGCAGACGCCTAAGGGCAGAATACCATGCTTCTGATGATGAGATGGTGACGGAGAAGAATTTCAGCACTAGTCAGTCATTATGTCAAGAAAACTTCAGCCTTCCAAAAGTTTATCTTGGATGATCTTGGTATTTTTACCCTAGCAATCCTGTCCTCAAAAGTCCTGGACATCCACATACTTGCCAATTGAAGCTGCCATCAAATCCAAACATTGCCGATTTTGGACAGGACAATCGTCTTCTAAAGCCATGATAATAAACCGGATTCCGATGTTGGTTTTGAACTGTTTTGAAGCTTAGATGTTGTAAGCCATCCTTGCAGACCCACTAGGCCAAACCAACGCGCTCTGGGAGACCAACTCTTTCGTAGCAGCATTGCGGCGCACCCGGTGATTGTTGGGACCCTGGCGGCTGCGCCATGTGGGTGGAGGCAAAAGTTGGGTACCATCCTGTGCGCATCCGAGGTGCTCCCAACCATTCATCGTTTGCCCGAAATGGGAATTCCACAGGTCCCATCCGAAGTTGTGTGATTTTTTGGGAGTGCCGGATGCCAGGGTATGGACTTTCAAAATTACAATGTTAGATTTCACATTCCCGCTCCAGCTCAAAGGTACGTGTCTCCCTCAAAAAAATTGCTTTTCCCTAGATCTAGTATATTACATGGTTGGGATTGCATAGGTGTATATATATATGATGAAGCTCAAAGCTACCTTGCTGGCTCACTGCCTCCTTGCTAGCTCAAAGCTCAAAGCTACCTTGCTGGCTCAGTGCCGCGTAGCTGGCTCAGTGCCACGTAGCTGGCTCAATGCCACGTAGCTGGCTCAGCGCCTCGTAGCTGGCTCAGCGCCACGTAGCTGGCTCAATTTTTTTAGCGAAAAAAAAAAAAAAAAAACCTCGCAGAAATTGAGCCGGCTACATGCCCTTGAGCCGGCTCGCCAATGCGTCATGAACCCGGCCAATACATAGCTAGTATTCGTTTTGATGCTCTCACATTCGTCCGCCAGCTCAACGTGACGTAGCTGGCTCAATTTCTGCGAGTTTTTTTTTTTTTTTCGCTAAAAAAATTGAGCCAGCTCGATGCCATTGAGCTAGCTCGATGCCCCTGAGCCAGCTACGTGGCATTGAGCGAGCTCGATGGTGCTGAGCCAGCTCGTTGCAGTTGAGCGAGCTCGCAGAAACTTCCCAATCTGTTAAATTGCATTAAATTGCCAGGTTCAATCCCCACTGATTACTTTAGTACTAGATATGGTACCTCTGAAAAAGCCCAAGGTGACTGTCAAAACATACCCCTGATGAAATTGAGCCAGCTACATGTTTTGAGCTAGATCGAAAAAATGGAAGATTGGGAATTCCAACATTCAAAAAATACCTATACAATCCTATATACATAATATCAAAAGAGGGAGAGTGAGAGGGAAGACGGGGAGAGGACTCACAATGCAAAAAAAAAACAAGTCTAAATGTCTTCCAAATTGTCAATCAAAGCATTTTTTTTTGGTTCCCAGCAAGTACCCCAATGCCAGGTATGCGTTCTTGGCCGCTCCAACGTGGGCAAGTCGGGTTGCCAGGTTGCCCACTTGCAAGGCTGGTGAAATATCCACTGAATCTTGGTTGATTTCTGAAGGACTCAATATATTATATGTTATATATACACACACACGTATGCTCACATGTATGTCATATGATATAGCATATATATATAATAATATAATACATATTATGTATGAATGTACACATACATCTATATAGATAGACAATAATATAGAGAGAGGGAATCAAACGTATTTTGGTACCACCCGTGCAGCACAGAGTAATAAACATGACAGACAGATGGACAGACACATCCACACAGAAAACAGTACATACATACAAACTCGAATATGGGTCAAGATTTGCAGTCACTATATACGATTCACTGTTGATGGTGAAGGCTCTCTACTTCTGTCGGAACGTCGGAAATCTCCAGTGCGACCGAGGTCTTCCCTGATCAACGCGCTGGTCCATGGCAAGGAGAGGGCGGCGCGTTTCCCGAGTACGGCAGTGTACTGATGTGCCACAGGTTTGCGACAAACATCGGGAGACGCCCCAAAAGTGGCATGGGAAAAGAAAATAATGGTTTTGGACAATGTTTTTACTCTTTGAATACTATTAGATAATATATATATATATATACATACACGCATATGGATCATTGGAATGTATTTGGGGGTTCCCTGGACAATCTTTGTGATGGACATACTCTTCTTACTGGTAGGTTTAGATGCTCAGCCGTGACCATTGGACCTGTGATGGATCCATGTCATGGGCTTTGAAGTACCTTTGTGTCAGACTGTGTGCATTTTATATATATATACACACCTCATATATCTATACCATTCTATACCTGTACGTGTATGTATGTACAGTATATATATATATATACATATATTATACTATGATCTATGATAATATATATTTATAGCCATACTCGCACACACACACACAGAGATTTGTATATATATATATACACCTCATATATCTATACTATTCTATACCTGTACGTGTATGTATGTACAGTATATATATATACATATATACTATGATAATTATTATATATATATTTATAGCCATACTCGCACACACACACAGAGATTTGTATATACATACATATATATATATATGTGCACACACACACACACACTACATTCAAACTTACACCTACCAATACCTACAGTTCTCCAAGGAGATTGCCAGACCGTCGGAAGTTCCTGGCCGTACCAGGTCTCCTCCCCAGGGGCTCCGGGGAGGTGCGGGCGCCACAGAAAGTCCCACTCTTTTTATTGGACATACCCCACTGACAGCATCTGACAGCCAGAGTTTTGCTTGTTGCTTCCACTACTTCGGAAGCGGTTTTCGGATGTTTTCGGATGGAAGCCTTCAGCCCAGAAGGTACTGTTACCCTCAGGATTTTGGCCTGAAGATGACAGCAAAGTTGCGGCTTAGACGCTACTCTGACAACCATCTGAATGCTACCAAGTCCCCTCCAGCGAAGGGGAAATGGAACACTAGAAACACTGAAGAAGCCAAGGAGCTCGACTTCAAAATCCTGGACAATCCACTTGGAAAGTCATCAAAGAATCGGGGATTTTTCACTTCCCCAGTGGGTTCTCCACAGATCAACTCGTCCTCACTCCGGGAGCGGCTCGCTTCTTATTGCCATGTACCGGCGGCTTGCTGCAAGGAAGGTGGATAGTGAGGCCGAGCAGTCTGGGGAGAAGCATCCCCCTGAGAGGAGGGGGCGATGATTAGATATGGGTAGATGTCGATCCATTTTTTGATGATTTGCACTAGTCACTAGTTTGATGGTTAAATCATGTTCAATCATCATGTTTTCTGGCTAAAATCCCAGTGATTTAAATGCTAAATCCATCTAAATCTAAATCAAAGAAATGCTCTGTGAAATCTCAATTTTTGCTCGGTCCATTTTTTTTTCAAACCGCAAAAAACCGGGCTTTGAGTCTGTTGTTGCTCCATGCTCCATTCCCAGGCGGACTACGATTGCTACGAGGGCCAAGCCATCGTGGTGGACCTGGCAGATGCCTGGCGGAAAAACAGGGGATTTCTTCCATGATTTAAGCAACCAAACAATGGGGATATCACGGGTATTTGGCTCAATTCACTGTATAAAATGGTATAAACCAAGAAAGAATGGGAGCTTTAACCTAACGTTTTTCTTTACAGATAGGAGATAACCAGCAACAACAACTATAATATGTAGTGGGGATATCATCATGATAATGGTTATGATATAGCCAACCATTACATGCCCCACGATGCTCAACCAAGAACTTCACCAACCAACCAAATATAATCTGGATAGAATGGAGATATAGTGGGAACATGACCAATTATGATAATTGCTTAGTTGTTTCAAAACTTATTTCTTTCCATTCTTGCCTTTGACAATGATTGCCAACGACTATTTTTTGGGGATTTTCCAGAGATTTTGATGAAATCATGCAGGATTTTGATTTTCCTCTTTATTGATGGAACACCTTGTATTTTGAATGTAAAGTTGTGCAGGAAAAGCCTACACTTTTGGTGGACAACTATATCTGATATCTCAAATGGGAACACCCACGAGGGGGTTCTGGTGGATCTTGCCCTTGTACCGTCCTCAATGAGCAAGTCGCGGGATAAACATTGCCCATAGAAGAATCATCCAAGAGTTGAAACATGGAAATGATTAAACATCATGTAAGAATAGGAAAGATTGAAGACTCTATCTATGATTGTCTCCAGTTAGGCTAGCAATGGGAACTCTCGCATGTTTCATGGTGGTAACACATTCAGGGACATTCCAGCACGACGTGTTTGTTTCCATCACGACATTTTTGCCAATCAGTGCATGGAGAGGCAATTTCTGGATGACAACTCTTGCTGAGAGATATGTAGAAAAGTTTATCTGTATGAAACAAGTGTGTATGTGTAGTTGATACAGTACTCATTTAAAGAAAGGTTTATCTGTATCATGGTAGATGTTTAGATACTTGGTCTGGTGTGAACAACTGCTTTCCTCACCTGCTAGTTCTGCACATGGTAAATGGCATAGCTTGGTGAAGATGTGGCACCTGCGTGTCTGTGGCTACCGAGGATTTTTCAGGTTGAACCTCAGACATGGCTAGTTTCAACAGTACATCAATTATAAGGCCCAGGTCTGAGGTTCGTCTTATAATGTGTGACATCGGCCAATCGGACAGGGCCATGTGAGGTATGGTGTGGGTGGACCTTGGGTATACATGGGCTATACGGCTATAACGTATATGTTCCATTCAACGGTAAAACACAAATCAATCCACCCATACACGCTCCGCGAACGACTTTCGTCACCAGGAAATCGATGGTCGAGGAGAAAGCTTCGAGGGCGCCAAATGGCTGGAGAGTAAGTTCCGAAATCGACAGCCCATAGGCTGGGACTTGGAGTGGCCGCCCGATCGGTGCCTCGGAGTAAAAATGTGTGGCTGTTTTAGAGCAGGAGCAGTGCCTTGGAACTCATGTCTATTATATTGTGTATGTTATATATACATATATATATATATATAATGTATATTTGTATGCATGTCATGCGTATACTTTTGGCAAGAGTGGTGAATGCACCTGAAGGCTAGTTCATTATATACTTCCAGGCGGATTGGATTTCCAGATGGACTGACCTTGACGCTGCAAGGACGAAGGATTCCAACAATCCCATTGCGCTGATGCAGTTTGCTGATCACGAAACGGTGCTGCTCATTCGGACACACCGGACCGAAGCATAGCTGCAGAGCTGCGTGCTGTGTGGTTGGTTTCGGTGGTTTGTCCAAGGGTCGATGGCCAGCAGTTTTGCCAGGGGGTCAGTCCATTCATCACTTAGTGTGCAATTTTGTTGGCGAACCCCACAACTAACCCTTTGATAATCTTTGAGATGGGAATGTCCACGCAGAGGTTTTGGGTCAAAACCTGACAGATAAAACCTCCAGGGAAGGGGTTTTGGGTACAGTAGCAACAAATCGTCATAAATTTGGGTTCCCCCCATTTCTGATCAACTCCATATCATGCAATTGGGGTGGTCTTAAATGTCTAGGGAGTCTAGGAGATATAGGCCAGCACTATGGAAGTCAGGGACTGCGGCTTTTCGATTGACGTGGCCATTAGCTACCAATCCTGCTTACTATTGATAATACTGATAATACTAATTATATCTTATTATTTCTGCTTGGAAGCATTGGACAGCAATTTTTTCTTTTGACTGTCAGGTCACCCGTTATGTTTGTTGGTTTTTCATAGTGTCAAAGCCCATGAAATCCCATGGTCAATGTTGGTCATCAAATCGCTATCCAAGACCCAGGAGCGATGGCTTCCAAATGTGGTGAAGCAAGTCCTGAGCTCCGAGACCTGTGTGAAGAGCCTTGGATACGGGAAGGGATGGTATTGAAGGCTGATGGTTGGCTGTGGTCACGGGTAACTTTTCTACATGTACTGTATGATACTGTATATTATTATATATTCTGAAATGGTTGCTTATTTGTAAATATCATGCCGTCACAAGTGAGGAAGCTGCATTTTGTTTGAAGCGACCAGTCTACCAGAGTCTACTGGTCGTCCATGCAGGATGGCACCAAATTCTAGGCTGTTTGGTCCTTTGTACTAGTACCTTGAGAATCGCAAAGTAGCACGAGGTCAGAGAAATAAGACGCGAGTCAAGCTCCAAATCCGCATCATATCCTCTTATATAATATGCATATCATATCTATCATACAGTAGCTATCTTTCTTCCTTTTCACATTCGACCACCAATTCTGCATGGGTACCTCCAGATCCCATGGTCATCATATTTTTGAATTGCCACTTTACGGCCCATATCTCCCATTTTCAGATACATCCATCCTCAAAGGATCTGTGTGGGCTGGGATGGAGCAGACAAGAAGAAGATGAAGAGCTCCTTTGAACTTGAACCGGTGCGGCTGGGGTCGACAGTTGGCTTGCAGGTGGCAATATTCATTCCTGACTATTCCACAGAAAGACCGGATTGGATTAGATGAGTGGAATTGAGTGGATGTGTTTGGATTAGAGTATGACTAGAGTATCTTGGAGAGTCGAGTGATGACAGTAGACGCTAGTAACAGCCGAGCAAAAACTCATTGCGCAAAGGGGGGCTTTCCAGACCTGCAGGCAGGCCTGCTGGATCTAGCCAACTTGGCATCTCAAAAAGGACTCCGGGAACGAGGCCAGCCAGGGAGCACGTGGTGGGCTGCAAACCCTCGAAGTCCCGGTGTTCATGGTCTATTTTGGCGAGGGAATGTCATGGATTTAAGGTTCAGTTCCTTTTGACACTTTTGATCCATGGGCCTTCCTATTTCTCAGGATTTCTTGGATACAAACCACCAGTTGAGGCCCGGAAATCTTGAATTTCCAGCAGAAAGGATTGGATAGTGGATGTATTCTCAGAATTTCGGAGCTTTCCAGTCTAGGTGACTTGGATCATGATGGGAACATTCAGACTCTAAGTTGCAGATGTGTACATTTAAACTTGGTGATGGTGGTTTGGTTTGGTACACTGTACACCATCCCTCCCGACTTGCCAACCGCACTGGGAATCCCCAGATCCGACAGCGGTCCAGGTCTGAAGGCGTTGGCGGAACACTTTGGGCTGAAGATGAAGAAAGAGACGCGGGTGGCGCGCTCGGATTGGGCCACGTTTCAGCTCTCCAAGGACGCGGGCCTCGGATTGGGCCGCTTTTGAAGGCAGGAATGGCAAGAGATAATATCGACAGTCCATGGAGGTTAATTATATAATATAACTATTTGTCATATTGAGTCATATCATGTCAATATGTCATATCCTGATTTTTTTTGGGGAGTGTTTTGTTCTTGTCACTCCTCTTGAAAGAAGGCCAGCCTGGAATGAATAACAAGACGGGTTCAGATTGGGTTCTGATTCCCAGATTCCCAAAGAAGAATCATTTTCCATAGTTTTTTTAAATGTTTTTTATGTTTGAATCAACCAATGGTTCATCAACCAGCTCTCTGACACTAGCCAGTAGATGCCACTAGTGGAGGGTCCGCCTTTCCCCAGGAGCAGATCGCTTATGCAGCAGAAGATGCATACTTTACCTATCTCTTGAAGGACAAGCTTGAGGCCTCGTGTTTCCACAGCAAAGGAGGCCAATTGAAGATTTATCCGGATTTTCCTGCAGATTTGAAAGGGCAAATAATGATAAATAATGATAGTCTGTTGGACTGCGGGCCAAGATTCAGTCAAACCCACATCACATCAAGTGACCTCTATGATGCACTGATACCAACACCTAGGCGCTCATACTCAAAGTCACCTGCGTAGGCACCCTCGGTGTAGGTGTTGACGTAGACCTCAGAGTAGTGTACAAGCCCCAAGCACCCGAAAAAATCACTAGTAACGGAATTGGCAGTATATACCTCTTTTTTTGAGCCATATACCCATCAATGTCAAGTTTCGGCCTGTCTCACCAATGAACACACGCTCCCAAAAAGAAAAGATACGCAGAAACTAGAGGAACACTCCTTGCGGTCTATTTTTCATGCAATTAGAATTGGATAGGTATGCTCAACAGGCTCAACACCTGTGAGTTGGGGGTTTTCTCCATGATGAACCTTTTGGGATGGTCAATGATGGTCATCATGGTCCCGGATTGTTTCCTGCGAGGCATTGAATGATGTCGAGGACGAGTCTGTGAACTTAGCTGTAGAAGGGCAACTTGCATCTCATCTGAGTTTAGCAGCCCACTCCCTCAGCGTTCGAGGGCTTCGGGAAAGGGGTAAGTCATGGAAACCAGATGAAACCAGGGTGTTTGTGGATTTCTTTACTTTTATGGAAAATCGTGAATAACTATCAGGTAGCTTGACAGGTGACGGGAAAGCAGGCACATTGTGGTACATGCGGCTTGACCTCCAATATTCATGGGCTTTTATTCAGATTCTGCCGGAATTATGTCATATGATGTCTATGATTTTTTCATCGCCCATGCAACGGCATATCCGTGATGACATGGTGAGACAAGTTCTTTTGCAACAAGCTCCGTACTTGTACCGCAAAAAAAACACAGACATTTTCAGACGTTTCAGGTGTTGATGTTCGATCAATGGCATGTGGATCCTACTAGGGCTTCATCTCCGTCAGGCTCTGAGACCAGGATGGGCGGAGGCGGGCATCGTCCGTCGCCACGATGGGCTGCACTGCGAGCTGTGTGGCCAAGGTCCCATGAACACCCACGTGCCATGGCCATGGTGATGGTGGGGTCCATTTTCACGGTGTCATGGTCCATGGTCCATGGGTTGAACACATGGTCACGTTGGTGTGTTATGGCGATGAACATGGAGAAACAATGTCATCAATGTGATATTTGGACCTTATTTGTGGTGGGAGGATTCCAAAAATACCTGCCTTTGTGTGGTAGCCATCCATGGGGGCGACAGAATGAAGAGATTCAGCATGATTCAGCACTTTATTCCAGCACAAAAAATCCAGGGGTTGGTGTATTGCTAGGGGAAAGTGGATTTTGAAGTGATATTCTGTATTCATTGGATCACAAGGCAAGCTGTACTGTACATGGCGAGCCAGCTATGAACATGTCAATGTGAAAGGCGTTTTATTTCCTGTGAATGCATGAAGGGCCACTTCCTTCGACTCAGACGCTTTACACTTAGGAGAATGTCTTGTCGCACTTGAGGGGCAACAATCACGCACCTTCCTTGCATGCTGGGTGCGCTCTTTTTCGGGCGGGGAGCCAGGTGTCACCGTGGACACTTCTGACAGAGCCACAGTACATCCCACTGGTATGTCTTATTCTGGGTTTCTATCTAGCTAGCAGAATTTGCTGGTTTCCCAGAATAGGGGTACCCCCAAATCATCCAAGTCATTCGACCATTAAAGCATCGGAACCTATGGTGACTTGGGGATCCCCTCATTTTAGGAAGCTCTTCTCAAGTTCATGCCGATAGATTTGGGACCTTAGTGGCACCTAAAACCCGAGACGACAAGCCTTCTGCCCAAAGTGCCCAAAGCATGTCTCAATTTTCAAAGATGGCCCAAAATACCAAAAACGACAGCATGAAATGGTGGATGAGTTGCAGGATTCCCTGATTTTTCCGACCTTTCTCCACATAACTACCTAAATGTCATGAATATATATATGGGAGCCGTCCGTAAAAGCAGGTCACAAATTTATGAATTGATGCGTTTACTTTGCTTTGCGCGATTGCTAAAACCTGCATCGCGATAGGCTGAGCGATTGGTTGGCGATTGGTTATACGGCTACCACCCTACTACTACTACTACTACTACTAGTACTAGTACTACTAGTACTACTACTACTACTACTACTACTTTTACTACTAGTACTGCTAGTACTACTACTACTACTACTACTACTACGACTACTACGACTACTACGACTACTACGACTACTACGACTACTACTACTACTACTAACTACTACTACTACTACTACTTCCACTACTACTACTACTACTACCACTACTACTACTACGACGACGACGACTACAACTACGACTACGACTACGACGACTACTACTACGACTACTACTACTACTACTACTACTACTACTACTACTACTACTACTACTTTTACTTTCGAGACCAGAACCATGCCAATAATTGACATGGCCGCGCGGATTCCGCGCGCGCGGAATCCGCGCAGATGTTTTCAGGTCAGAAGGACATTCAAGCTAGCTCCAATTGAAAACAGGTCAGAAACAGGTCAGAAACACCAAAAAGGCAGCACTTGCCTAGCATCCCATCCATCCATCCATCCATCCATCCACCTCAGCTCTTATCATTGCTACTCTACTACTACTACTACTACTACTCCTGCTACTACTACTACTGCTACTACTACTGCTACTACTACTACTACTACTACTACTACTCCTACTCCTACTCCTACTTCTACTCCTACTCCTACTCCTACTCCAAACGCAACCTCTCTCTCTCTCTCCCTTGCCTATTCCCTCACCCTCCTACCAGAACTCCTACGCCTACTCCTATTCCAATTTCCACTACCACTACTGCTAGTGCTACTGCTACTGCTAGTGCACTGTGAGTTTTCCGGACCGTTTCCGGACCGCACAAGCTTATTTTGCTCCCAAATTTGAAATCGAATGCGTTCACGCATGGATCCTTACTCTCATTACTAGATTTGCTACTACCCCCAGCACTACCACCACACCCGCTGCTACTGCACCACCCTGCACCACCACTACCACCACTACCACTAGTACACCTAGGAATTTCTGCTCTTGCTTTTAAATCCAATTGCACTCGTGTGAAGGGTCAGAAACGAGTCAGAAACCAGTCAGAAACCCGTCAGAAACCGGCCAAACGCAATCTCTCTCTCTCTCTCTCCCTTGCCTATTCCCTCACCCTCCCATCAGAACTCCTACGCCTACTCCTATTGCAATTTCCACTACCACTACTGCTAGTGCTACTGCTACTGCTAGTCCTGCTGGTACTACTGTGAGTTTTCCGGACCGTTTCCGGACCGCGCAAGCTTATTTTGCTTCCAAATTTGAAATCGAATGCGTTCACGCATGGATCCTTACTCCCACTACTAGATTTGCTACTACTCTTAGTACTACCACCACACCCGCTGCTACTGCACCACCACTACCACTAGTACACCTAGGAATTTCTGCTCTTGCTTTTAAATCCAATTGACACGAGTTCCGCTGAAGGGTCAGAAACGAGTCAGAAACCAGTCAGAAACCAGTCAGAAACCCGTCAGAAACCGGTCAAACGCAACCATCTGTTTCCCCCTCCCTCCCTCTCTCTCTCTCTTTCTCTCTTTCCCTCCCTCTCCCTTTCTTCCCTTGCCCTGCTACTAGAACTCCTTCTCCTATTCCTACTCCTACTCCTACTCCTACTCTTACCCCTCCTACTACTACTACTACTACTACTACTACTACTAGGACTAGTACTACTAGTACTACTCGTACTACTCGTACTACTGCTGCTGGTACTACTGTGAGTTTTCCGGACCGTTTCCGGACCGCGCGAGCTTACTTTGTTCCCAAATTTGAAATCGAATGCGTTCACGCATGGATCCTCATTATATAATACATAACTTATATTTTAATATATTTTATGTATATGATCTGATCAACGAAGAACAAACCCTTCCGCGATTGCTCACTGTGGTACCGCGGTTGCTACGCGATTGGCTGAGCGATTGAGGGCTGTCCGGGAAAAGGTATTTTGGACAACCCCCATATATATATATACATATTACTTACCCAATTTTGCCTTCTCAGATCCTTGGCATTGCCGCACTATGAGGACAAGAAGACCAAAGCTCGCCAGGGTTTCGGTCCCGAAGGGAAGCATGTTCTGACTGAAGAAGAGGAGACCAATGGCATTTATGCTGGTGATGGCACCAACGGAATCTTGGCGTGTGGCATTGTTACACTGAAAGACCAAAATAGCAATTTCAATAGAGCCACAAAAAGCTGGGGAGAGTGATTCTAGACATGAATATTTTGAAGGTCCGTCTTACTCAGGTGCGTATGGCAGTGAGGTCACGACAATGTGCATCTATTGATATTGACATTGATATGTATTGTAATATGCTTCAGATCATTTTTTTTTGTGATGATATTCTTTTACATTGTGGACGCTGTGACTTAGGAGCGGAGGTTGGAGAGTTCAAATGCAGGCTGTACCTGAGCTACAGTCAAAGAGATTCAAAGAGTGTCAAGCCAGATGCTGATTTCATTTGAGTTTGTCCATTCACATGGGTGATTTGATGGGTGGGATACTCCAAAATATTGATTTTGATGAGGAAAATGATGATGCATCAGGGCATTTTTGTGGTGCCCTATTTTCAGACAGGGAATCTGATGAAATCTGGGTGACTGCCACTGACCAAACCCAGCAATGTCGGGTAAGGAGCAACATTCCCGCCTAACAGAGCCCTTTTCAGCAGGTTTTCAGGCAATATTACAGTATCTAAAGTCGTCTAGGTGGGTTTGCAACCCGCTAATACCGTATTCCAAATCAAATTTCCGATCCAGGATATGGGAAGACTATGTAGTCGCATGAATCCCTTGATTTTTTTGGGAGAGACTCACTCTGGTCATGGACCATGAAGCGACCCTTACAATCATGGACGAGGCCCTCGATCCCTCATGATGCAGCTAATTTAAACAATACTTGGTCATTTACATGTACTGGCCACTAGCGGCTACAGGATTAGTTGGGGGAGTCTGAAAACAGACCATAAAACAAAACATGGTCCAGACCTTGTTGATCTTGTTGGTAGGCGAGAGGTGTTCATGCGGCTTTGGCATTCGCTGTGTATCCTTGTAGTACATGGGAGTTCGTATCCCAAGCTACGTGATTTGATCTTTGGATGTGACTACGTACACAATATTGGATTAGAATTTGCAAGGGTCCTACCCCCCAAGTTGGGCGAATCGGGGCTCCCAAGAAACATCACTTCCTTTTAAAAGCATATTTACGGAATGGAACATACTGTGGATGGAAGAAATCCTGCACCACCTTGGATGGCCGAACCCCTATAAATAATGGGATAAACCACCTATCGGTGCAGGATTTCGCAACCATCCACCGTATGAAGACAGTCGCACAAAATCCCATTCTGGATGGCTCCACATCTGAGGTGTGAGGACGTCCAGCTGAGAAATGTTCAAAGCTGGGGGGGAGCTGGGATCTGGCAACTTTGGACATTCCACCTAAGGTTGATGAGGATCGGATGTAATCAAAAATCATCAAAAATCATGATAATCATGGGGATATAGTTAAATGATATATAATGGGGATAGAGTGGAGTTATAGGCACTTCCAAACATTGACCAAACTGGGGGTCAGATTTGGCTCCAAACATGTACGGCCATCACAAAGATTGTTTGTATTGAAGACACGAGCATGCCAAGCTGGGCCCCTTTGGATTTGGGTCAAGATTGGATACTCCTTATCCATTGCCTGAAAGGTCAAACCTCATGGAATCATTTGTGTGTTCCAAGAAATTGTTGATTAAGCCTCAGTTGTTTCCGAAACCACCAACTGGTTGCCGCAACCAGCTGGTTTCCAGAATTTGACCCGACGCTGGAAGGCATCAAAGATCACATGAAATCCAAGAAGCACCAGAAGGCCTTGGGTCTGGCTCCGGATGCGGAAGTTTCTTCGCCCAGCAAGGAGACTCCGCACAAAGACTTGATATTGGGGAGATGAAACCATCCAACTTGATCCATTCTTTATTTTTTTCCGGACCTAGAACAGTTATTGTTACTTTATGTTACTTTATTATTGTTCTTTGAACCAGGCTGTCCATGCTGTCCCAGATATCAACTTGATAAACTTGGCTGCTGCGCATTGCTACGCTGCGACACAGTCAAGATGAGTCCAGGACCCTTTCGAGCGCCTGTGGAACTTGCCGGACTACGTGGAGTTAAACGAGGAGTATAAAGAGCTGCTGTGCACCCTCTGCTCTGCCAAGGCAGCCACAGTGTCAGCCATGTATCAACACCTCCATGGTGAGAGACACCGAAAGAAGGCGTTGACACAGAAAGTGGAAGACGTGATCTGGATTAAAGAGCGCAATCAGTTGGAGTCTCTTGGTCCTTTTTTTAATTATGTTCTTCCCAGCTCGTGGAAAAAACGCCATCCCTTGTTTTATCTTGGTAGTGTCGGGGGTGTTGCTAGCTGTTTCAACCTTACAGAATTTAATGGCATTTGGGCATACCTGGTTGATGGACAGCCTCAGATGCTGGTCATTTTTTAACTCATCTCAGCGGGGCGTGGGGAAGGCTCCAACGTTTGACCGAAGCTGGACAGCTGGTCTCAGCATCATTGTTTGTTGTCGGAGAGTTTCCCACCTCTGTTGCTGGTCAATCCATCATTCTGTGTAGTTTTAGCGACCTCACACCAACCTCACCCTAGATGATGGTGAGTAGTCAGTAGAATCAGTAGAGAGAATAATCCCAAACATGGCCAGCTTTTATGATCTTTTATGATCTTTTATGATCTTTTATGGTTGATGTTTCTTTTGTAGAAACTCCTCAGATCACTGATCCGAGGTACACCACCTCTGGCAGACCGGTGCGTCGCAAAGGTTCCGCCCAAGCCGCGGCTGCCACGACCAAAATGACGAAGACAACAACGAAGGCGACGGCGACAGCTGAGAAAGCAACGAGCAAAGAGACCGCCACACCATTGCCTGCTGGATGGGCCATGAGTTGGGATGATACATCCAAGAGCTACTACTACTGGCCAGTGACTGGGACGAATGATGAGTTGATATAAGTTGTGTGATGTTGTATGGTGGTTAGCAAGATCTGGGTTTGACAAGTATCCAAGATGAAGGCCTTGCATACACATGCATATGATATATATATATATATCATATAATTATATAATATACATACCACATACATACCTATGACAGATATATACGGTTTGATGATGATTCCAAGGTGTTGGACAAGAGCAAAACTCAGTGGCAACATCCTGCAGAGACGGTGCCTGCGACCAAAGCCCCAGCTGCAGAGACGCCCAAAAAAACCTCAGCGTCGGTGGAGCAAAGAATCTTGGCGACTGATGGGGTTGCCATCAGTGCGTTTCACCTCAAAAATGGGTCGCCAGTTCTTGATGGTTACTGTATGGGAAAGTCACCCGCCGTCCATATTTTTGCTGGTCCAATGTGGTCAGCAAGTATCAGCAGATCAACCAAAACCAAAAGACTTTGTTGGAAACTCCATTGAGGGCTTGTGCATTCGATTGATCCTTCTCATTTGTATCCATTTGTAAATACTTGTAATGTCCGCTTAGTCACACACATTTGATGGATTTTGATGGCATGGATCCTTCAAGGCTTGATTCTTTTTGGGTATCATTCCCATTCCCCTCATACGGCCACCGCAGGCACCGCAGGCACCGCAGGCATGGCCCCTCCGGCCTCGACAGCAGGCACCGCAGGCACCGCAGGCATGGCCTCTCCGGCCTCGACAGCATCGAATGGCAATGTGGATGACGAATGGGAAGAGCCACCCAGCTGTGATTTGGGCCATAGGGAAATTATGGGAAATTCCACAACCATTTGAGGAGTTTGAGGAGTTTGTTGTTGTCCCTCATGCCTTTCCAATCTTGATGTCCTGCTATGCTTGGTGGTGAGAACTCAAGTAGCAGACTGTCATGAACACACCACCTCGCAGTGACCTTTTGTCGTCACCACTCTTGTCTCATGGAGCCCCAGAACCTGATGGTTTAGCCAGCATATTTCGTATTAAGATTGGCATGAATTTTATATTGGGCTTGTTGAGATAAAACCAATTCCATGGATACTATTTTTTTCAATAGCACGCTGAAAGTTCGAGCTTCCTGTCCTTGGCACTCGATGGCACTTAAGGCATGAAACCGATGACGGTGGCTTGTACAGAGCGGTGGATGGGGAACACATTTTTCAATAGGGGTTAAAAACAGCGCTGCATTAAATTTACCCAATCATGGTGCCATACAGTACTTTCTTTGTCAAGCTAATGGTGGCTTGGTGTGTAAAATTTAGATGTGTGTTGATGTTGTGTATGAGTCAATTTCCTGTATATACACAATATTGAAAGCCACGGGTACTTGGCTTCTTGCTCCAGAGGTCGCAAGTAATATGGGGATGGATCAAAACCTATTCTATCATCATTGAAAATCATAGATTACATTAGATGTATACCATGTTTGAGCTGATAAAACTCCATGTACAAGCCGTTTTGGTTTTCACCAGGGTGCCAGGGTTTTTGACCTATCTCAGATCTCCATGTAGCTCTTAGGAAGCTAGCTGGAGACTCACGGGTTCGGGCCATTTTGGGCCAGCTCAACGGCCACAGCGAAGGTCACAAGTTCTACTACAACCTCAAGACCAAGACATCCCATTGGCTGCAGGAGCATGCTGAACAACAGCCCGACGCGGGAAACAGCAACAACAAACCGAAGCTTTCGATTTGCTTCATCGTCCAGAAAACTTTCGATTTGCTTCCCAAGTCTCAAAAACTGGTACTCGTAATTGTTACGTAGATTTGAAGGGTTCCCATTGCTGAGCTCTCTGCCGGCTGGCATGTGTGTTTTTATTTTGAAAAAATTTGAAGTTCCGGCGAGCCTATTCAAAGACATGCGTGAACAATGGACGCTGTGTGAAGGCGCCGGTGGATTACAGTAAACTTCCCGTTGTCTTGATTTGGAACGGCCCAAGCGGAGAAACCTGCAAGCAATCCTCAGTTACTGGTATTTCGGGGTACAGATACAGACTAATTCGGGTATCTCTGGACATACATAAGTGCATAATGAACCGCGTTTTTGCCTCGAAGTTTTTCATCGTTTTTACAGACTTTTCGTTGCAGAAGCCAGACGTAAGGACTGGGACCAGCAATGGATACGCACAGCAGGCGGATGGCAAGGACAGCTTTCCAAATTGCAACGGCGACTGAGCATTTAAGGTGATTGCTAGTGAAACTGTCCCCATTCTCCTTGGATTGGTGTAATTAGGGGAATGTCCACAGAAAACCCTCGTGTTTCGCATTTTTTTTTCACATGAAGCATGGTTTATCTCCTGTTAAACAATATCAGGAAGACGAATCCAATGACGTTCCAAACGTTGTTGATTGTTTATCAAGCTGGTAATTCCTCGCATCACGTGGTCCAACATCCAACGCCAGCAGTGGTTGCGAGACGCCCCTGTTGGTTGGTGATGAGTTCTGGGCTACAAACCTACACTCCAAAATATTCAGACTGATCAAAATTATCATAATGACCATAAAATCATAACACATCATAGTTATCATAATAATTGTCATTATCATACTTATCATAATTATAATATATATATATACACATCAACATGATGATAATGATCATAACTATCATGATTATCATCATTAATTATCATACATACTTATTATGATTATCATATATCAATATATATCATAATAACTTACATACTTGTCATAATCATAACATACTTATCATGATTATCATACAGTAAAATAACTTACATACTTGTCATAATCACATCATACTTTTCATGATTACCTTATATGGCCGTATAATAACTTACATACTTGTCAAAATCATATCATACTTATCATGATTATCATATAGTATAATAACTTACATACTTGCCATTATCAAATCATGCTTTTCATGATTACCTTATATGGCCGTAAAATAACTTACATACTTGTCATAATCATATCATACTTTTCATGATTACCTTATATGGCTGTATAATAACTTACATACTTGTCATAATCATAACATACTTATCATGATTATCATATAGTATAATAACGTACATACTTGTCATAATCATATCATAGTTATCATGATTATCATATAGTATAATAACTTACATACTTGTCATAATCATATCATACTTATCATGATTATCATATATTATAATAACTTACATACTTGTCATAATCATATCATACTTATCATGATTATATCATATTATCGAAGGAAGTTTAGAAGTCAAACTTCCGACAATATGGACAGATGAAAAGCAGAGATGGGAAGAGGCAGAGAGAAGAGAAGAGTAGAAGAGAGCAGATCAGAGAAGAGAAAGAGTCAGAAGAAAGAAGATGCAGATGCGCGAAAAGGTAGGAAAGTCGCGAAACACTGTGTTTTTCCAATGATTTGTGGCTCCGGAGGGTCGAAAAGTAGGCTCGCTAAAGCGGCGGGTGCGGAGCCAGCTGGCCAGATGAGAAATGAAAAATTGCACTCCGTTGTGGCGCGAAGCACATTTCGAAGTCAAAATGTACAAAACACACCATGTACGGACCACTTTTGGAAGTTGAGATGTCGAAAAAGTGCACGCCATTGTGGCGCGAAGCACATTTCGAAGTCAAAACGTTAAAAACGCTAGGGGTTCGGACCACTTTTGGACGTTAAGATGTCGTTTCGCGTGGCAGGCGCAAGGGATTGTGCACCTTTTTCAAAAGCGAGCAAAACGTGAGAGTTTTGTAGCATTTCCAAAAACGATGGCAGGCGTGGGACATTTGAAGAGGATCTTCAAGGATGGATTTCGCGTGGCAGGCGCAGTACAAAAGACATGTTCATCAGAGATGTTAGGAGGTCAGGACGCTGATTTCCTGAGAGGGGTTGCATTTTGGAGCATCAGATCTGTAGGTTTGCTAAGATGATTTTGCGTGACAGGTGCAGCACTTCCTATGACCTGGCATCACTTTTTCGTGGCAGGGGCAGTACTTTCGACAGGTGGACTGGAAAAATCGCAAAACGCATTGGTACGAGACTGTCAGCTCTGCACTCAACTTTCCATTTTTGAAGGAAGTCTCGCAGAATTGTCTTGTTTTTGATGTTGTCAAGTTCAAAAACTGAAGACGTCTCGCAGAATTGCTTCGTTTTTGATGTTGTCAATTTCGAAAAATGAGGAAGTCTCGAAGAAGAGCTTCATATTCAAGCTTGCAGATAGACAGGTAGATAGATAGACAGACAGACGCACAGAGAGATAGATAGATAGATAGATAGGTAGATAGGTCGATAGAAGAGATACATAGTTAGATAGACAGGAGAGATAGATAGATGGCTAGATAGATAGAGAGATAGAGAGAGAGATAGATAGATAGATAGATAGACAGATAGGTAGATATATAGATAGATGGATAGATGGATAGATAGATAAATAGATAGATAGGTAGGTAGATAGATAGATGGATGGATAGATAGAGAGACAGCTAGCTAGCTAGCTAGCTAGCTAGATTAAACAGATAGATAGATAGATAGATAGATAGCGAGAGAGAGAGAGATAGATAGACAGACAGATAGATAGATAGGTAGATAGATAGATAGATAGATAGACAGATGAGAGAGAGAGAGAGAGATAGATAGATAGATACACAGATGAGAGAGAGATAGATGGATAGATAGATAGATGGACACATGAGAGAGAGAGAGAGATAGATAGTTAGATAGAAAGATAGTTAGATAGATAGATCAGTAGGTAGGTAGGTAGGTAGGTAGGTAGGTCGGTAGATAATCAGAGAAAGAGAGCGAAAGAGAGAAAAAGAGTGAGAGAGATCAATCACCTTTCGATCCATCAGTGGCTTCGCTCTGCCATCCCTGATTCACAACAACCAACCTCTCCTATAGGCTTCCTATTTTTGAAACTTCCGCCACCGCCTTGTGCGGTACTACTGGTAATAATTTAGATACTTGTCAATATCATATCATACTTATTATGATTATCATATATTATAATATCTTACATACTTGTCATAATCATATCATACTTATCATGATTATCATACAGTAAAATCACTTACATACTTGTCATAATCACATCATACTTTTCATGATTACCTTATATGGCCGTATAATAACTTACATACTTGTCAAAATCATATCATACTTATCATGATTATCATATAGTATAATAACTTACATACTTGCCATTATCAAATCATACTTTTCATGATTACCTTATATGGCCGTAAAATAACTTACATACTTGTCATAATCATATCATACTTTTCATGATTACCTTATATGGCTGTATAATAACTTACATACTTGTCATAATCATATCATACTTATCATGATTATCATAGGTTTCGTCATCACCCAACGATCAACCCCTGCAGTGCTGAGGCCATGATGATGGCCGAGGCGTTCCGACGAATCGACTCCCTCCAGGCTGGCGAGAGGTGGTGGAGGAGAATCTTGGCGAAGTGAGCGGGTTGACCGGGCAGGACGTGGGGAGTTGGCGCAGGAAACCCCCAGATTTCATGGGAAAATCGATGGTTTCCTGTTGATAGGTGGGAAACATTGTAAACACCCCATGATTTACAGGCTTTCAACGTTTCAACCATCCATTTCAGGTGGCGCAGGATTTCGATGGATTTCGCAACCATCCACAGTAGGTTCACCGAATTTGTAATAAACACTCCAGAAACCATTGTGGATCTAGGGGATATTGGGACCATCTGGGTATTTAATATTGGGGGGGTGGGATTGATTAGTCAGGGTATAAATGATGGCATAACCTCCGCTCATCATTGCTATCTGGGACATCCTATGTGAATGGAAGTTAGAATCTGAAAATCATCGAACTTATGGTTCGTTTCCATTGCCATGTTTGACTACCGGCAGTCAATTTTGGAACTATTTGGGAGATTTCTTAATCAGAGTTACTACCAACTTGGATGATTTTCCAAGTAGCAGGGATAATCGATTAACCGCATTTGGGGTTGTCAGAAAATTGCATATAGGCCCCCAATATAGATAATATAGCCATAATAGGCAACATGATGACAATCCACTAGAGTTAGGTGCCCGGGGGTACCATATTTTCAGTCAAGAGCCATTTGGCCGGGCAAAGTGTGCGAGATGTTGACCTCCAGGATTTCTTCTTGACATCAGCGTGGGGATATGGGGATATTTATGGATATAATGATGATATATATATATGTATATACACACCATATTTTACTGCGATGATTGATTATGATTGCAAAGCTGAAACTTGAACAAACAGAATCGTTGAGCATAATCGGGGACATTAGCCAGAAGTAACATGAGTGCAATGAGGATATGAAGCAACAAGCCATGACAGGAAAGTTGATGATATTGAACAAGAAAGCATGGTCAAGTGTTCAATTAACAAAACGGGAGTTTGAGTGATTGACCAGAGTTAGTTGTTGATTGCTGCTGAGTGCCGGATCTATAGGGATCATGATTTGACGGATAAGAATCCCGGTCAAGCAGTTGCAGCACGAGCTTTGAGTATGGTTTATTTGAAACTGGCATGGTGTGTAGTCTTTCTATTTTTGGTTGGGGAATTGGGGGGACTTCATACAACATTTGGTACCCCGACTCGAGTGGAATGGATTTAAACTATTGGTGGCATGCTGGTTGATTGGTTGTTTGTTGGTTGGATCAAAATTATCGATCCGCAAAATCTTTCCTTGTTCAGTCATAGGAGCACACGGCTGACCCAATTTCGTGGGTCCCTTGGTGACATGTGCTGCACCCTTTTGGGGCAAAACCTGGAAGGTTTTCCTCCCGGCCCGGCAGGAAATCGGGCCGTGTCTTCTATTGGGATGGCGAGGGCCAAACCTCCAGCTGGACGCGTCCGGTGATCAGCTCAGATGGGTGAAGTCATTTAAGTCATGGTGGGTGCTACAACCTCCAAAGCTTGAAACTTCATCTAAATATGGTGTGTGTGTATATATATCTATATCTAAAATTATATAAATGTGTTTGTGATCTCTTTGTCTATGTGTGCGTTTTTTCTGGTTGTGGACTGAGTTCTTTATTTTGACACAGAAACCCGTGGCCCTGATTGTCGGCATTTTTTGGCAGGTGTACTATCACCAGGAATGGAAGCGACGGCTGGCATCAGAGGGTGCGTACTGGATTCTGCGGGGATCGTTGGATCACGCACCCATGAGCTTCTGGGTTCCTTGATGCACTTAGTACACTCAGTTTATGGAAATTGATTCAGAGCTCCTCGTCATTGGGAGGAAACCCCGAACTGCAATAGTGAGTTGAATATGAACAAGCTTGGAAGAACAGCACCCCCCATACTTGGATATACTTGGCACTTTTCAAGTCTCCAGCCAGAAAGATGTTTTTCATGGTCCCGCAAAGATCATAAAGTATATTATATAACTATAATTCCCCCTACCCATCAAGATGTGACATCATGTCACGTAATCAGACCAGCTGGAAAGGTTGTTTCCCAAACCATGGCCATCACAGGAGTCGGATCCCGCCTGGAGTCGGCGACAAGATGAGGAGGGGAACATCTACTGGAGCAGCCAGGAGCACCAGATCCGATTCTTCGAAGACGAAGCTGCAAGCGCTTGCAGCAGCACTAACACCCAAGGCTTTGTTGCCTAGTCAGCTGTCAGCTGTCAGTCAGCTGTCAGCTGTCGGCTGCCGCGGCAAATTGAAAAGGCTGCGGCCCTGAGCAGAAAATGAGTGGCGCGGGCATGGTAGATGTGTTCTGGGATGCCCAAGCGGACGTTAGAGTTCTGGAATGCTCCACTGGGGCTCAGGCTGATTACCTGTGAAATGTCGTGTTATGTCATGTCGACCGTCATAGACCCAGGAAATTCCAAGCAGCTTGAACGCACATGGGTATGGGTCAGATTTTGGTCAGGTTCAGTTTAAACAAAAATAGACCGTCCCATTTTCGGGTGGCTTGACCCATACCCATGTCTCTAAAAGCCTTGCTTTTCACGGTGGGTAATCAACCGCTTGTCGCAGAGATCAAGGTCTGCGGTTAGTCCTGCTCCGATGCAAAACGGCCGCGGTTCTATGGAGCCGAGTTTGTTTCGAACAGTCTTTGGCACATGTTATGAACACTTGAGTCAAACGTGTTGAGCACCCAATCATACCCCAACCACTGTTGCTTAACTCTACCCAAACTACAGTTTTGGCCATGTCTGGTTCCAAGTCATCTTGGATCTTCGCGTTTATAAAACATACATAGTACATTTGTACATATATATATATATAGAGTCATATAGTATTATATAGTATTTATATATATATATGTATATAGAGTCATATAGTATTATATAGTATTTATATATATGTATATAGAGTCATATAGTATTATGTAGTGTGTATATATATATACATGTATAGCATTATACACACACCAATTAAATTTCTGGATTTCCATAGCACCCCAAGGCCTTCCTTCAGCAGATATCGCACAGTTTCCTCCACGCGGCAAGAGGCATCTCTTTGTCTTTGACATTGGACGAGAGATCTCCCTGGTGGATTTGCTGGGAACTTAGGCAGTTGTGTTCTGCGAGGATATGGGTATGGGGCAACCCCTCAAAAAGATGGAAAGTAAAATGAAGTAAAGACCTACTAGACTCGTGGCAAATTTGAGTTTCTCCATCATTGGGGTTATTGTACCCTTAAAAAATGGTTTCATTTACAGGCAAACACAGTCAAAATATGGATTTCTTCAGGTTGACAGAGATTCCACGTCAGTTTGTGGGGAAGTGCTGAACATTTCATTCTGGTCATATGGGTGACCCCAAACAGCTCAGGAGGGAATTCTCATGTCTTTTCTGGGCTTCGGCCATGATTTGGCTCAGGCAGCTAAGTACAGAAACGCCAGGCATCCATATCCAGAGAAACAGGTAGAATGTAGAGGTCAGTGCAGGTTAGGTATTCAGCTCAGCGGATTCAAACCACCAAATCTTGGCATTCAATCAACCTAAAGAATCCTAAAGAGCCCAAACTTGGTAAGGCACCCAAGCCCGAACCTATCCCAAAGCTATTCTTTGGAAGATGAAAGCAGACCATTCGAGTGGAAAAACTGAGGGAGCCCCTGGTTGCTATGGCAGGGACGCCGTCCGGCTACAGCCTTGAGCCAACCGAAGACGATTGCCAGTTGCTGGGATGAAGAAAGTGGTTAAAAAAATAGAAGGGCTGGGGCAATGGTTGATGTGGTTTCAACGGTTTCAAACCTGTTTCTACATGTTTCTACCATTTATTCAAAGGAGCGTTTTTCCCCTGTGATTCCCTCTCATGCCTGCCCTGGGACGGTGATGATGGTGGTGGTGATGATGTGTACTACTATTGTTATGCCGATGTTTTGCTTGAAGTTTCCCTTTAAATCCCAATCTTGCGCTGATCTCCAGTAATCTGCAGGGTTACTGCAGGTCGGGTCCCAGAGATACTGTGCTGAGCACAGCCGAGCCATGCGATGGCCGCAAAGACGAGGTTGCAGTGATCTGTTGTGTGTTCTGAAAACTGGATGGGGTGGAAAGCCAGATTTCATGGCAATTTTAATGTAAAGAACATGGCAGAATGCCCATAAATCTGGGTTGTTTGGGACAAACTCCTTGGGGGAACCCCCATGTTCCTACGAGACAGATCCTTACAGTGATGGAGGATTGAACAGGAATTTCATCTCCAAGTTTTTCAGCGTGAAACCAATATGTGCAAACAAAATATGTGCATACAATATTTATATATGATGGATATTGATGGATATTACAACGATACAACGATATAGTGTATGTAGGAGTGTATTCCTGTCTCTCCATGTGTTTCCAAGATCTTATGATTTCGTTTCAATGCTTGGGTAAGATCCAGTCTAGGTGATGCTACCGTTATGGCAGGAGTTTCTTAAGTCACGTCCTTTTGGAGCTTGACTTGCCATGAAATTTCAACTTCCAGCATTCATCAACATGTCGGGTGACCCTCTACCCAGCATGTTGTCGCAGGTTCTGGCAGAAGTGCAAGAAGCGATGCTGAGATGGCTGGCAGAGAATAAACGTCACTGGGCACCCAGAGATGCAGACATGACAGATATACCCAGAGATGTTTTTAGGCACCAAAGAAGCCTCCAGTGACTCCAGTCTGTGGTGATGAAATGACGGCACCATCCAAGTTCTTAGGTGCCTAGTTTTGACCCATGTCACACGATACAGGGGAAGGTTGAATCCTTGCAAATTGAAAGCGCCGGATCTGACGATATGGTGGCCAGCAAGCAGTTTTTAGTATTAAACCATCTCCCATTTTTTATTTTTAGTCAATTTCCCCCGTCCCAGTGGGAAATTATCCCAAGTGAGAGGTTGAAACCACCAACAAGCCTTCCTTCGTCAATTTGGGTATGTCTGAAAACTGGACCCCAATTCACGGCTATCAAATAATGAGGAAACATAGGGAAGAATCAGGATCAACCAATGGATTTGGGGCATCCCCAACTTTCGATCATGGCTAGCTGGAAAGTCCACGATTTATCTATGATTTATCTATAATATTCTATAATCATTTTTAGATGGATTTTCCAATTTATACAGATGATTTGCATTGATTTTCCAAGTTTCCAACAAGTTTCACCCTGCCATTGAATAGATCTGGGCTTCATATTTTTGGTATATCCAATTTTCGAAACACACCAATTTCCCTCATTTTTGGCTCAAAAATCCCCAAGGTCTGGAGGATTATCGCATCGTAGAGCGTGAGATCCATGGACTTCAGCTGGCCTCCGCCACTGTGACTGAGAGGTACTGTTGGAAGGGGAGTGTTGCTGAAAGCCCCAAAAGATCGATGGAAAAAAAGTGGGGAAAAGCATTCGTCCAAGCCATTCGCCACTTTTTGAGGCTTCGATTACACTACTCTAAGTTGTCAATCTCTTGGGGGCCCCACTATGTTATCATGGCGATCCAATGGGATAATCGCAAAGAGAACTCCAAGAATGAGATGGTTTGCTGTATTGTACACTCTAAGATGATAATATGGCAGCTGACTCCAGAAAATAGAATTGTAAATGATTTACCGATGATTTACATCAAAGACCATGTGATTTTCAGCAAATTAGGTGACCTGACAAAGCCTCAGATCACCTCCCGGATCAAGGATGGATTTCTGGGATGGTCATCCTTATTGTAGGGATACAACTTGATATTATAAGTGGAGATATAAGTGGGATCAAGGTGACACACATTCTCATGTGCACGGATGTAAAACAGCAACTTTACAATTGGCTTGTGAATTTCAATTCAATCATGGCCCCAAATCCAGCAGTTTAGTCGGCAAAATCCTCTGATTGGGCAGAGTGGCCTGGTATTAAAGATGTTTCAAGGTTAGGTTAGATGACTCTCAAAGAATGATGAGCAATGATATGATAAGCATTGATGGATCCGGTCCTATACCGCAAAGTCTGGCACTCTTCAGAAGTGCAGAGAATGAAGTCCTATTGGTGCCAACTGGTTTCTGAACAGATTGCGGGACCAAGCAGCCTGGTCACAAGTACAGACAATTGAATCGTGATCTGAGTTTTGGGTATTCTCTTGGAATCAAACATGGCAACTTAATCCTCAATCCTCCATTTGCGGGCGATTTACTAACGATTTGCCTATGAAAGATGATAATTTTCCATCTCCAGTGTTATCTCTCTGTTTATACCTGGAACCTGGGACCTCACAACTTGTTGGTTATTTTTTTAATTTGTTTTCAATCATATTTGGGGATGTCCTAAAATAGGGGTACCCCTAAATCATCCATTTGAATATAATTTTCCCTTATAAACCATCCATTTTGGGTACCCCCATTTCAGGGAACCTCCATTTGGGATTGACACCACCAGCAGTCTGATTTGACTCCAAAGAACGGCAGGACATCGTCAACTGAAGAGATACCACTGGAGCGAACTTGGACGAAGTCAGTTTCGGGGCGTGCTTCTTTGAAGATGATGGCATATAATGGTTTAATATTGTGTATATATATATATATAACATATTCTTGAACCTGCGGCATGTGAGGCTGATGTGCCTTCATTCAAGACTTCTGGGTTCAAGGCGGGACCCGAGGCGCCATGTCGGGGCAGAAGCTGTTTCTGCGTTTGTGTGACGCAGCTGGTGGTGCTGTGGCGTTAGCTGGTTGGAAAGTAGAAGGGTTGGGCAAGGAAGTTGTTGTGGCCTGCTTACCTAGTCGGCTTGAGAACATTCCTCGTGCTAGCCTGGGCAGGTGGTGACAGTCAACCTTCCATTGGCTTTGTGCGAGTCCCTGGTGAAGCAGTTGCTTCTGTCCATCCCGCCGGATGGGAAAGTCAGATCAGCAAGCATGTGCCCGATTTTCGAGCGAGCATGAGCCTGTGGTTTGGCGGCGAGGCGGCCGTACTGGAAAGCAGCGAGGCCGAGGTGGCACCAGCCCCAAAGGCTTCAGTCAAAAAGGTGGCCAGCAGCAGTTCTCACCCGATTGTTGTCGGGCCTTCAGCAGATGGACTTGGATTTTTTAGCGGAACAGGAAGCAGACTCCGAGGAGGAGTCAGAGGCAGAGGAGGAGGAGGAAGTGAAGTGTGGCCGGCGCCTGGCTGGAGGAGTTCTTCTGTGCCGAAGCCAGAGGGGAAGGAGGAGGCCAAAGGTTCCAGGAAGAGCGGGGACCCTCAGCTGTTGAAAGCTTTGTTCAAGATGTTGGAGCGCATGGAGAAATCCGAGTCCAAGAAAGACAAAAAGAAGAAGGATGCCGACGAGCTTTGGGATCCCCTTGGTGGCTCCGCTTCCGACAGCGAAGAAGAAAGCGCAACCTATTGCTCCGGAGGAATGAGGGCCATGAACAGTGTCCACAAGCCGTGCCATCAAGTTCAACCATGGCTGTGCGATTCGCAGGTGTGCTGTGCTGTACTGAGTAAGGGGCAATCGTCTTCTTACAAGTTGAATCGGGTGATGAGGGCGATGTTGCCCACTATGCTGGCTCTGGATGTGTCGTTTGCTGCTAATTGGATTGGTACTAAACACAACCCAGCAGATCATGGATACATCAGTTTTTACTGGTTGGGAGATTTTTGCGGGCTCCGCCCGGCTCACCAAAGCGCGCATTCCAAACCGGGCCTGTAGGATGAGGGGTCCGGTTGACCTATACTCTATCAACGTGATGCTTTTGATCGTAGCATTGATCAGGCTATTCGTCGAGGTGAGGTAAACTGCTGCCCCATCCGGGTGAAAGTTTTTGCCAACTGCGGAATTTAGACAGCTATGGAACCTCGCCCTAAAGGAACCCCTCCAGGAGACCCATCACGCCCTGAAGTAGCGTTGGGGAATAGGCTTTGGTGTCGGGCCTTGGGGCTGGCAGAGCTAATGTACAAGTATGGGGGCACGTGACTCTAGAGCATCCTTTGCACAGCAAAGCGTGGCAACTTCCACAGACTCGGAGGTTGGTGGATAGTGGCAGTCTTTTGTTTGTACAAGCAGATTGGTGTGCGTACAGTAGCGTGTCTCGACCAAACCGAAAACCCATGCAATTCCTTACGGCCATGCCTTGGCTCAATAGTGCATGTTTGCGGTGTCCTGGCAACCACATTCATGGCAAACCCTTGCGTGGCAAGCGCGCCGCCACATCGGCAGCCTATACTTGGGGATTTTGCAGAGCAGTAGCCACATCACTTAAACAGTGGCGGCATGGTGCGGCTTAGGTACGCTGGTCTATCTTTACCTTACAAGCGAAGTCTTCATGATGCTTGGGACTGGGTAGTGCAGAAGGGTCAACACCTTGGTAGCTTTCCATCCCATGGTTCTACAGCAGAGGCATGGGCATGGGATAGGTTTTTAGAGCGGCTTGTGCAAAGGTCTTTTGATCGCGGCGTCAGTATTCAACAAGTAGTCTTGGGCATCTTATCCGTCCAAAGGCGCGAGCGCATTTCTGGTTCTTTGTTGGCCGTAGCCATTTTGGTTCAAGAGCCATTTTGGCTCAAGGTGATTCGCTCAAGCCGCCCAGGTTTGTAGCCAAGCAAATAGGCATTTCGGGCGCACTTTTAAAGCCATGGCGGGCTTGTTCAAAGCCATGCTGGCGGTGCTGGCCCTGTGCTGCGGAGGTGAGATGAACAGAGATGACGATGGACAATGGTTTGTGCAATGCCGGGTGTATTGCATCTTACTCACTGTCCCTTTTTTTTGTGCTAGCTACTTCGTGAGGTATCAATTCGTTGCATTGAATTTGAATTTTGACGTCCTTGCAATCTTTTCTGGTGTGTGTATGGGTATGGCTGCGGTTTCAAGACGTTTGTGCAGTAAAGCCGGTAAGATTGAATGGATGATGCAAAGTTGGAGCCGGATTTTCCACATCGTGAACTTGGTGAGGAAAACTGTGTGTGGGAGAAAAGTGTGGTGGCCTCTCTTGAAGATTATGGTGATTTTAACAGGTTGTGCTTGTTTTTGCTGGCTTGAGTCACCGTGGAGCTTCAAGTTCTATCAGCGCTTCGTGGCTATGTGGTCCACTGCTTGGATGCATTTGTGGGACCTTTGGGGCTCTTTTGCTGCTTTTGTATTCTTCCACGTCAAAGCCATGATTTTGCAGACTCATGCTTCGTGTGTTTCTGGACACACCGTGGATGGTTTTCAGGCAACTCCTGGATTCAAAATACCGGTGAATTGCGTTGCGCAGATGGTTGACACGGATTTCAAACCAACTTGGAATCATGGTTTGCTGTCAGCTGTGGCGATGATGTCTTATTATTTCGTGACCCTTTGGCAATTTTGCTCCACTAGGACATGCAAGCTTGTTTCATGGGGGAGCGTTTTTACAATGATGATTTCTGGGTTGGTTTTCTGCAACCGATCTCTTTGCCATGTCACGCAAAGGCCTCAGATTGCTGAGGTTGTCTCTGCAATGTCACAGTGGTGCCAGCAGTTTCAATTCACAGGTGCCGATCTTGTTTGTTTAGGCCTCAGTTTAATTTGTGTGCGATGTTTCAGACAAGCCGTCATTTGGAGTTTCCAAACCAGACATGATGCTTCTGTTGCATACATGCAGAAGCACTTTTTGCGAAATGCCGCGGTCGTATTTTGCTTGCATACTTGTTTGTCCAATCCGACCAGCCTCTCTTTCGTTTTCGCCGGGGCCTACAAGGTCCTTGTCCTGATGTGCGGAAAGAAGAGAATAGTAGGTTGTGGAATAGCACTCCTTGGCATCATGCTCATGCGAATGTTGTTTTCAATGCATCGGTTCCTCACATGGAATGCACAGAAAGCGCTGCTGTGGTTCTGTCATCTGGCATGCAAGATCATGGTCATCGCTTTCTTTTTCCGAAAGCTGTTGACTGAACCTTCTTTTGTGAATCTGCTTTTGATTGGTTTAGGGGTTGACATCATCGATTTGGTGACATTAGCTGTTTTCAGGATAATGCTGTCACTTCACCATTTGAATGCAAGGCCAAAGAAAGTCTTCAAGTGCAGAAGAGTTGGCCGAAAGCGCTGCCGATTGCATCGTAAGTGCATCCGAAAGCCAAGAGTCAGTTTGTTTAATAGGGTAGGCCGTTTCCTGTCCTTTTGCGTACGTGCGCAGTTTTGCCCATTCTGTCAAAACATGCCTGAGCATTCGCAAACCTCCCGGCCCAGATCTTCCTTCCGCGGGGGAGGTCGTAGAAACAGTCCAGAGACACCGGAACAGAAACTGCTGCAAGGTTTGCAGATTTTGTTGAAAGATACTTTGCAGGCCTCTAGCTCCGGAGCCTCAAACAAAAAAGGCAAGGGTAAGGGCTCCGGCAAAAGTAGTGGTAAAAGCCTACCTTCCAAACAGAGAGATGCGAACCATGATGGCAGCTATGGGCTGATTCAAGCCTTGCAAAAGCTAACTGCCCGAGCCGCAAAGAAACCACAAGGGTTGCTCCAAAGGTTGAAAACATTGGTTCAAGTTACTGAACGTGGTATGTTGCGACCAAACAAGAGAAAGAAAGATCTGCCGCCGCATGAGGCGGTCCCGCCAGTGAAACCAAGCACACGATTCAAAAGTTCAGAAAATTTGGTAGATGGTGCTCCTAAGCCAAAAACACGATGGCAACGCGACAGATCCTGGAAAGCCCGTGCCCAGGACTGGGGCGTCAAAACTGTTTTGCGTGGCCCCACAGCTCTGTGCAACGCTCTTGACAGTGGGGACACCGGTGCTCTCCTGTGTCAAGTACAAAATCTGGATGATTGGAATGAAGCCCTCCAAATTTCTCATGCTGCTGGTCGCACCAATGTCACGGTTGTTCTTGAAGCTGCACCTAACATGTCTCCAGAACTTGGCAAATTGAGATATCATGGTTGGACAGCCTTGAACACACGTGCAGCTGGTTATGCCGATGATAAATTGGTCCAGCGCTTGGTTTGGATTGCGCGGTGCTCGCCAAATGCACCCACATTGGTTCCAGGATCCGTGCTGACAGGCGCCAGGCGGCCTGTTGTCCAGAAACACGGCCATGAAGAGTCTTTTGTTTTTCGAATTAGTTGTGACATGCGATTTATTGCCAGTGACAATCGCCATCATATCACACAGGGACCTGGGAAATTTTTTCGTTTGTGGCTGTCTGATTTAGGCCCAAACGCTAGGGATCTTCTGCTTCACCTTGGTGACACGTGGGGATTCCAAAAACTCGAGGCTGAAAACCTGGTTCGAGGATTTGCTCGCGTCAAAGGCAAAGACAGGGCCCTGCAGTTGATTAAAGCGAGCGGCTCAGAACACAAAGGTCAGGTTTGGTTTCTTGATCCTGCCAGATGGGATGGCCTCGCAGAAACACCTCCACGCATGCTTTGGGTGGACAAACTGGAAAATGAACAACAAATTGCATTTGCTCGTCGCGTAGCTCATGATTCGGGTCCTTTTGGCATGGCTAGGGGTCGTGTACAGCTGGCTCTCAGGGTCAAACCAGACGATGAGCGGCTCAAACCCACTT